GGAAATGTACAAATGCGACAAATGGCTTGATATAGAATATTTTTAAACTGTAATGAAGGTTAAAAAACAGTAATTTGATAAAGGTACATTACAGTGGACATTATGGTCAACATTTTTCAGTTCAGTGAAATCAAGAAAAAGCTCTCAAGCTATTTCCCACAGATATGCCAATGTTTATTGCGGCAATGTGTCAGCAAAGGAAAGTCCTTTTGACAAGTAGAATATGTCGGTGTGTGTAATAATGTGTGTAATGATGTTTTGCTCCTTTCTACAGCTAGACCGTCAGAACCGCTCGCTCAAGAGGAAGAGCATGATGCTACTGTCCCACCTCAGTCCTGAAACCATCTCAGAGATTAATCTCATGGATGATGAAGCCGAGGGGGAAGAACCACAAGATCCAAGTGGAGTTTGCCTCTCCCCCCACTGCCACACCCTCATTTCAGGTACAAGGTGTCTCCAGATTTGTAGCATTGTTTATTCTTCTAGAAAGCAAGGACAATTATCTTTATCAATTACCATGAATGAGAGTTTATGGTTTCTTGTGTTTTTCTCAGGATAACATTCATGAGTCTTGGCTTGTAAGTGATGGGTATTTTGAGATTCTGTGATTTGAATTGAGTACTTTGCCTGTAAAAGAATGGAATTACATCCTGTTTTCTTTATTAAACAAAATCCCCGTCCTACCCAACAACTTTTGACAGCTGAGCAGAAAGGGACTTTTCTTTTTAGGGCTAAAGAAAAGACTCAGTCCTTTGACAGTATAATGCATCTGAAGTTTCAAAGATTTCCTACCAGATTCTTTCACTGTTTTCAATATCTATTGGTTTGTAAAAATGAAAGCAAGTCAAAGTGGTTGACTGGCATTACAATACACTCTAATAATAGCCCATTGTGTTGACTTAGCTTTTATGTAATTTAATGTAAGCCACGCATATCCACTCTCCATTCAGTTCAAATCTTTGAATGCTCCATATCATGTAGTTTGCAACTTGGATGTTAGACAACGGCATGAGAACTAATAACAAAAACCAAGGAAGATGTATTGCTGGTTAACACCAGATGGTGTGATAAAGGGAGAGGCTGTACACAGTAAAACGTTTTCTGTGAACTAGCATCAACACATCTAAGCACAGGTTCATCTTCTGGTAATGGTGGAAATGTCCATGCACAGGGACGTTTATCCCTTCAGTCCCTCAGCGTCTGCAGCGAGATGTTCAGGATCTTCTACAGCTCCTCATTCTCTACAGACTTTAAAGAAAACTGGACCATTTGATAAAAGAAGACTGGCTCAGATCCAGGGACTAATTTGGAGCATCTGGAGCTTTTTTGTTCACAGAAGAATGCGACACAGGTTGAGGAACATAATGGAGAACCCTGCGCCCTTCTACACAACACAGGGATGAAATAATGGAGTGTTTTCAGTCAGAGGCTTTCTCAGCTCAACACAGAACCCATAAGAGGTCATGCTTGCTGGCAGAAATAATCCATCCATCCATTTTCTATACCTGTTCTATCCAAGAAAGAGTCATTTGTGAGTGTATAGAAAGCAAAGGCACAATGCATTAGCACTAATTTGATCCGAACAACAGAGCTACACCAGGTTCTGCATAAACACCCAGCAGAAAGACTCTGGCTCTTTCATTTAAGTTCACATAGTTCTCAGGTCACTTCACTGCTTTTTCACCTAACGATTTCATCAGTATAACATATTCAGTGCAGCGTATCCCATCACAGAACAAAAGTGTGTTTTGTCTTCTTTTTCAGAACTACAGAACAAGTTGAAGTCTACTCTCGAGAGGGAAAAACAGGCGGTTTATGATCTAGAGTCCGTACGACAGCAGCTGAGGGAGACGAGGGATGAAGTAAGTTGTCCTCCACTCAGAAACAAAGACGTGGGACTTCAGAAAGTGGGAGAGAGGGAATATGTTATTCAGAGAAATGTACAGGACTGTCTCAGAAAATTAGAATATTGTGATAAAGTTCTTTATTTTCTGTAATGCAATTAAAAAACATGAAGTGTCATACATTCTGGATTCATTACAAATCAACTGAAATATCGCAAGCCTTTTATTGTTTTAATATTGCTGATTATGGCTTACAGCTTAAGAAACCCAAATATCCTATCTCAAAATATTAGAATATCGGATTTTTGAGTTTTCTTCAGCTGTACGCCATAATCAGCTATATTAAAACAATAAAAGGCTTGAGATATTTCAGTTGATTTGTAATGAATCCAGAATGTATGACATTTCATGATTTGTTATTGCATGACAGAAAATAAAGAACTTTATCACCATATTCTAATTTTCTGAGACAGTCCTGTAGAATCTCACTGCACTTCCAAATAACCCCTTTGAGAAGGCGTCACATAAGCTGTTGTGGAAATTGTATCTTAAAGCAAAAGTCTGAGTCCATCTGAGGAAGTAAGAAATAGAAATGTATTAAAAAGGGAAAAAGGGAAGGGGAAAACTTCATGAAGTGAGAGCAGCTACTGTACCAAACTGCCCCAAAGTAAAACAAATCATGGTGCATTTTATACCCCTCTGAGTCTGAAAATAAGACGTAAAGTCTGTCCTTGATTCTGCACCTGTATTAAACAATCCTCCAGCCAAAACATTCAGAGATAAAGAATAAGGAGACTCTCTCTGAGACCTAGAAGGAGGAATGAGTGCCATGAGAAAGAAAAAGAACCTTTAAAATATTCAGTTGTGGAAAGTTACCGGAGAGAAATGAAGAAAGTGATTATACATATATTGATTTCCCTAACAAAGCCAATGTTTTTTATTGTCTGTCCTGCTTCTAAAGCTGTTTCTTTTATAGCACAGCGTAGTCAGGAATCAGGGGGTCCTGATTCACTGCGGTCTCTCTGACATATTGCTATATATCTGAGAAACTGTCCAGAATGTTAGATTTCTGATTGGTTCTCTCTGGAAAATCAGGGAAGACAAAAAAAGCAAAATCTGCTGGTTTAGAAACCAGCTGAAATGTCTAAGATGGACAGGCAAGGTACAAACATACACAAGAGGAAATGGAAATGTCACATTTATTAGGGTTACCTGTTTCCTGTCACTTGCTAGTTGTCCAAAATTAAAGGTAGGAGTCCAAAATAGCTTTTTGGCTTGATTGAATGATCTTTTTCTGAAGTGTAATGTTGGTTCTTGTTGGTGGATTGGACATTACCCATACCATAATTCATTTTGAAAAATCAGTAAATACTGTATGCTATACACCTTTAAAGGTTGGATATTTGAACTGTTTTTGAATCGTCTCTGCTTTCATTTCCAGCTTATCAAAGAGAAACATGACAATACGGTTTTAATTGCTGAGAGAGTCCAACAAAAGAAGCTCCTGGAGAAATATACCAGAGGTGAGAGTTATATTTATGTGGTATAGCTGCTGTGCAGATTTCAGATAAGACCTTTTTTTTTATAGAAATGGTACATGATGCATTAATGGCTATTTAGTGAGAGTGAGGGCATTTTCTCTTTCAGACGTACAGTAGGTCAGTGCTAAGTTAATGTTCCCTACAGCTTCATTCAGATATGCCCACCACAAAACAAAGAGCCACAGCCCACCCACTACTTCTTTATCTCCCCTAATTGGGTGACGCGTTTAGGAAGGCCTAATACATCAGGTCAGAGTTTGATGGTTTTTTAACACAGCGTGCTGACTTTAGAAATGATTGTTTATTTCAACAACATGTTCATTTTTAAAAGAATGTCAGCAATGGATGTGGGAATGAAAACATTTAAGGTTGCTTAGCAGCTGGTATGATAAAGGACTCAAATTCACATTCACAGGGTTTTTTTTTATAGATAGTGTAACAGATTGTTGTCCTGTTAACATTAAAATAGCAGTAAACGTGTATTTTTCTTCACCTGGCTCTAATATAAAAGAAAAATACTTGGGGGAAGTAACAGTGTGGGAAATTCAAATAGTCAATAGCTCAAAATTGAAATATTTAGATATTCACTTGTAACTCAGTGAATAACAATTAAAGAATCATCTGTGAAACGTGTGAAGTATCTACAGCTAAAACTGTGTGTGTGTATATATACAGTGGGGGAAATAAGTATTTGAGCCCTTGCTGATTTTGCAGGTTTGCCCACTTACAAAGAATGCAACGATCTATAACTTTAATCATATGTACATTCTAACAGTGAAAGACAGAATCCCAAAGAAAATTCCAGAAAATCACATCATATGAATTTATAAAAATTGATAACCATCTGA